AAAAAAATAAAATAAAATAAAAAAAATTACTGAACACATTATATATAAACAATAATAATAATTATATAGCACATGCAAAACTTATAATTATACCGTGTAGTGTAAACTGATATTTGAATATACATATGAACAGCAATTATATCATTTTAGAACAAAATGATTATGGTATTTTATAACAGAATGATTATATTATAAACTAATATTAACCACTAGTTATGTCATTTTATATACATAACACAAGTGACGGACCTAGGAAGTTAACTCAGGTGGCCCGATTTTAAATGTTAATTAATAACGAGCTTGTAATTTAAGTCTTAACGCTCATTTCATATAAAAATATATTTACTATAAATATAAATATCGATATGTGTACCATCAATTTTTAAAAATATTAAATTCGTATCACCATCAATTTTTTTTTTAAATGAGATTTTAAGTATTTATAATTTAACTTCAACATCTATAAGTTATGGAAAAATAAGTTTTTTTTGTTGAAAATTTGATTTGAATTGAACTTTTGCGGCATATTGCATAACATTTTTGTTGATGAGAGCTTACCAAATAAATATTTTTAAGAAAAAAATAAATAAAGTCTAAAATATGTGATTACACAAAAAAAAGTAAAAATAAACATTAGAAAATGTAACAATCCAAATAAATACTCGATTTTGTATCACTAAATCGATTTACAATTAGAGACAAAAAGAGTAAATCATTATAAATATTTTCAAAAACTCATCTAGAAATGTAAAATATAAAGATTGTTAATTATTTTCAATAAATAAATAATATTAATAATTTAAATTAAATAGCATAGAAAATATATTTTAATTATTAATATATTGTAAATACCTTTTGCATTTCTATACATATTTTATAGTATCTTCTTTACAGAGAAGGGGCCCACGGGCCCCCTCGGCCTAGTATGTTTATGCATAACATTACAAAAAATTTGTTATATTCTAATAGAAAATTCTACGGTAATATATTCTAATAGAAATTTCAACGAAATTATTCTATTAAAATGAGTTTTCCATTAGAATTTTAGATGGAATTTGATGATTCCAACTGCTATTTTTCTAATGGGTTTTTATTGTAGAAATTTTTATTTTTACCTCAGTTGGAAAATCTACCTTTGTAATTGTCATAATCCAACGAAAATTCTAATGGAAAACTTATTCCAACGGAATATTCTTATTAGAATTTCCATTGGAATCCAATAGAAAATTCCAACGAAAATAATAACATTTGAATATCCATTGGACTTACTGTTGAAATTCCAATAAAATATATTTCATTGAAAATTTTCATTGGAATTATATATATATATAATATTTAATTTTCTATGTTTAAAATCAAAGTTTTTTCAGTTAAGTTAGGTACGAAATTTGTGCAAAAAAAATATAGAACTAGTTATTGACTTACTTCTCTGATTAATAAAAAAAATGTGTCTTTTTTTAATCGATAGTTTATCTCCGATTTTTTATTAGTAAACTTTAAGGATGATGTAGGATAAATATCAATAAAATTGTAACATATCGGGCTAAATTTGACTACTTTGATTACTAATGAATTATTAACTCAAATTGCTCATTAAGTTGCCTGAAGAATCCTAGAAATCATTGGTTTTGTCAAAACTCAAAATATAAAAGTTGTTAATTTTATTTATTTATCTATTTTTATACAGTCTTCGTATTGAAGATTTCCAGAGTGAATCATTTCGAGTAAGAAATAGCCAAATAGGGTTAGCTCATGAATCATTTTGAGGAGCAAATATGGAAACATTTACAAGACCTGCTTTTTTTTCCTTTTGAATATTCTCCATAAGAATGTATG